ATTCCGGAGTCCTTTTTCATGTATTAGTCAGCCCTGTAGACCCACAGACATTTGTATATTAATGTACTACATGCCATAAATAAAACTGGAACAAACTTCTTCCCACACAGAGCCGTATAATTTCGTACAGTGTGTACAGTTTGCTTTCCATCGGTTTAGTCCCACTCTTTAGGGGAGGTGACACGGGGGTAGGGGACACGCTACATGGTCATGTCGGAAAACTTGCAAATTACCCAACTACGACAGTGTGGTAGCCTTGGGGAAGCATAAGTGTATTCTGGTACATTTGCCCCAGGCCGTATCCCCCCATAAGTCGACCCCCCACTACTCTCTTCAACAGCAGATGGGGTCCAATCTTCCTTTGTAGCCATATTTGCTTTTTGACTCGTCGCGAGCAAATCAGGACCCTCCAGTCCAGAGACCAAAACCCCACGGTTCCCGATCAAAACGGCAAAGATCTCTTTGTAAGGCCCGGAAAGGATACACGACCCAGTTCCTGACTGGTTTTACCAGAGGACAGGTGTGCCTTCGCATCCTCTACTCGAGGATCAAAAAACCCAATGAGACTGTGCATGATACGACAAACGAGACCGGAAGAATCTAGGATGAGACAGGAGAATTTACGAAGAAGTCCGCGACCCTCAACGACTCACCCGTCCCCCTCCAAACAACCGACCAAACTCTTCTTCATATCTGCAGTCACACCTCAAAACTTCCGATAACATCGACATAACAAAACCACACTTCTCCGCAGGACAATCCATCAATTGCCACAAGGAGTAACTTGAGGAAAGAAATACCCCCCCTCCACACTGCTGGGGAGGTGTGGTGATCCGGTAAGGCACCAGAGAGAGAGAGAGACACAAATGTCCTAGGCCACGACACCCCGGCCGCAAAAATGGACTACTCGACGTGGAACCCAGCTTTTCCGGATCTTCTTCTCTCGGGTCGGCCTATGCAGGGAGAGTGAGGAGAACCCGGTGAGAGAGGCACGGTCGGAGCCCCTGGACAACGACCAAGGTAAGTGATAAAACCAAATAATTTGTAATGTAAAGTAAATGTCAATGTAACGTAAATCGACTGCAAGAAAATAGGTTTCGCTGATATGTTATTTACGCAAGCTGGTTGTTTCATGTTTGAACTTCTTTTGTCTTAGTATATTCATGTAGTCCAAAGTATCTCGATTTTTGTAAAGTTCACGATGAGTTGACCGAAAGAGATCTATTCGGTCAGGAAATAATCATACTATTCACGAACAATCATTAAGGATATTCGAGCTTCATCTCAGCTTTCTCTACTCAAAGTCAGACGAGGCCTTCTACACATTCAAGTCGACAGGACTACAGTTACCCCTCGGAGTAAGGTGGTAAAACCTCGGTCCTATCTCGTTTGGGTGCACAAAAACGGACTGATTTGTAACAATATAAAGAAGTGGGGAGCAGAGCGGAGGGACGAAACACAACGTCGGGTCCTCGCGTTATTGTCATATATTTACGAAATAATGATTACCTGACGTGGTTTGTTCGAAACGATTCGTTCGACTCTAGGTGTCTGAGATTCTCCATAATCATAGTAGTGACTCGCTAGTCTTTGAGCGGCTGTCCCCTTCGTTTTGTCTGTGTGTGCTGCATCGAAATCCATCGTTTTTTGCCTCTATACGAATGGAAAATCGACAACAAGACTTAGTTTTTCAACAAAACGTTACCGTAATTTTGCTTTTTTGTACGAGACTTACACAGAGACAGTGAAAACTTAAAAAAAAAATATTAAGTTAAAATAATTTTTTGTGACTGAAAGTATATTCGACGGATTACTATCGAAGCTCTCACATACTGTCGAAGGGAACATAAACCCATCATAGACCGATGCGCAAGTGAGGAGTGAGGAATTAAACCATTAGACACACACATACACCTTGAAGGGGAGCATAAGGTAACCGAGATGCCAATTTTTCTCTACAGTTAAGTAGTTTTAGCTGGTTCCCCGGGTCTTTTTCCAGTTTAGGTGGGTTAACTGGGGTCTTCCAGTCTCAGTCACGAAATGTTACAGGCACCACAATCTGAAAGACTGGCTCACCAATGAAGTCTTTCCCATGTGACAACCATTTTCTGACCAGCAGCTCCCCTTGCAGCAGACAGCATCGGTTGTGCCATTTCCATCCTCAGTGGAGAGAACCGCCTCAAAGAAAGAATGAGCTTTCTGCTCTATCACCAATTCACTGCGGGATACAGACAACAACAAGTCAGGAACAACCACAGAATCTATCTCACTCACCTCTTCACCCTGCTCAGACTTCCCCTGTGTCACAGCGCAAGCCACAAACACTTCAGGGGAGCACTTAGCGTTCTCCTCTGTGTTAACAGTCACAGTGGGTGAAGATGACCGTATGGTAGGCGGTGGACCCTCAGCCCACACACGGCTGCCAGCCAGGCCGTTACCCAGGATAACATCCACACCTTCAATTGGCATTACAGGATGGACCCCCATGGCGACCTCACCCTGCACCAAACCAGAAAAAAGCACAACAGAATGCAGAGGAACAGGCACAACACTCATTCCCATACCTCGCATCAGGAAAAAATCCCCAGTTCTAGATTTTAGAGAAAACGGTAGCACAGAGCTCAGAATGTATGAATCATACGATGCAGTGTCTCTCGAAATCTTTTCCGGCTCGCTGATGTCACTTCCCACCAATGACATGCATCCGTTTGACAAAAATGCAGAAAAACCTGGTTCCTTCAACCCGCATGGCTCGATAACCTGCTGACAGGGAGAGATGACAGGTAAGGGTATCACAGACACAGCGCAAGCAGCAGAATTAACCTGGCCCCCATTATTCCCCCTGCTAGCCCTAGCTTTGGGACAGTCAGTTTTCCAGTGCCCTCTCCCCCTGCAGAAGTTACAGATTTCTGATGGGTCAACCCGTGGCTGCCCTCGCATCGCACGTTCAGCATTACCCAAGTGTGCATGAGCTTCCTCCTCCCATCTACCTGCTGCATGATACATTCCTTCCTCCTGGACCCTGAAGTCCCGACCGCCCCTGTGTATCAGCACGTAGTCATCAGCCAGTACAGCGGCCTCTGCAGCAGTCCTCACCTTGTGCTCGCTGATGTAAACTGCAATGTGGCTGGGTACAGAATTTTTTAACTGTTCCAACACCATCATATCACACAATGCAGCATATTAATCCACATTTAGCGTATTGCACCATCTGCAAAAAAAAAGTACCAGATCCCTGGCAAACTCAACATGGGTCTGTCTGCTAGACTTCTCCCAGGACCTGAACCTCTGTCAATATGCCTCAGGGACTAACTCGTAGGCCTTCAGAACAGCAGTCTTAACAGTTAGGTAAACCTTGCTCTCTGCCACCGTCAGAGCAGAGTAGGCTTCCCGGGCTTTACCTGTCATTACACACTGTAACAATGAGGTAATCTCAGCATCAGACCACTCTCTGCTATCAGCTACATGCTCAAACAGGGAAAACAAATATGTAGGTCTCGTTCCCTAAACTGAGGCACTACCCGCAAATTACTGCCAACGTCAAACGGAGTAGCTCTACCAGAGAAATTAGAGGTCTGGCTTGCAGCCCGAGCAGTTAAATTCAACCTCCGCTCCTCTACCTCAAGCCTTTTAATTTCTACCTCCAACAGCAACAACTCCTTTCTCTGTTCAAAAGTCAGTCCTGCATCACGGCAGCCAGACATATCAACACCGTCTCTGCTAGGACCAACAGTATGCTTTCCCCCTTTGAAAGCACCTAACTCAAACAGATTTGCTTTAACAATCCCTCTTATGTTTTCTTTCATTCTTTTATCCCCAACATCAAAGTGGAAATGTTCAGCAACACAGATCAGCTGCTCATGTGAGAAACCCTCCAGCAGCTCCTCTGAAGGTGCTCTTAAAAAAATCCCCTACACTCCCCATGATGACAACACTGTGTGACACGCTCACGCTACCGCGGCCCGTCCCTCTAACTGCCTCACAGAAACTAGTTAAACTCTCCAACTAGTCTTCAGGTGCTAGTTATGGCGGGTACTTACGCACTTAATACCGTAAGCTCGGCGAAGCGACCAGCAAACTGGCAACTCCACCTGCAGCCTCGGCGTGCTCCCGAGCTAATGTCTCTAACCACTTTCACACCACACTAGCAGCTCCCCCTACGACCTTTAAGGGAGACCGTACTGAAGCCTAACAGGGACCAACGGTACGTGACTGCCGTGAACAAATACTCAGTGCACCACACCTAACTCGTATTCCAAACAACCAGCCTTACTACAAACACTTACCCTCGTCAAAGCTACTCCCAAACAAACAGTTGTGCGCTCCATCACGGTCCACTGCCGTAACCCGCTACAGCTGTGTGTTAAGTTCACAACAACAAACTCCATTCGCGAAAACTATCTCCGACTGACCAGGTTCAACCAACGAGCCCCCATATGTTACAACCCGGCTCCTGGGCTGCAACAAAAAGCAGGGAGGCGAGACAAGGGGTAAGAATATAACAATTGTTTATTTATAATAAACAAAATAGTGAATGGAACCAGCAACAGGTCCCCGAGGCTGGCACGGAGAGAGTGCCCAGAGGAGTGAGAGAGGCGTATCCAGCCGGGCTCTCTTCTTCTAGGCCTTTTCGACCCAGGTGCAGCTCATCAGGTAAAACGCTGGCCCCACAGCACCAGATCCTGTAAACACAGAGAGAGAGAGAGACCACGGAACGCCTAGTGGTGTGGAGGGGTCATCACAATACCTAGAGTTCTGTGGTAAGTGCGTTAGCCCTTTTCCCGCTCAGGGCTCATTTAGACGCTTCTTGTGAGACTTGTATTTTGTTTTGGTAAAAATGGTTCATATCATCAGTAAGCAGTGTTTCTTCCCGTTAAGTGAGTATGACACATTCATATTTTATTCAATTTTAAGAAGCCCTGAGACACAGTTTCATGAAAACAACGGGGGCTATGGGGCTTAACAGATTAACATGTTAATTTTGGTCATACTCAACAGAAAAGTAGGTAAGCAAACGCAGAAACCTAGTAAAAACGTACTATATTGCAGCAATTGCATGTGTTATTCCGATAAATTGTTGAATTAGTGATTGCACTTGTGCATCATCAGTTATTATGAATGTACAAAGCACTGTCTTGTCTGAAAATGAAGTCAAGTCAGAAGTGTCTCAAACCTGATTTAGCAAAAATGTGAATGATAATTTCCTACAATGGCAAGTATTGTACATCTGAATGCCCTCATTGACATACAAATGTACGCAGCAACTTGTGTTTCCTTTATGAACACGAGTTATTATTAAGTATGAGTTACCCCAATATATATATTTGCCCCTAAAGGCCTTTTGTGTGTTGCCTTGAAATTAACTATTTTTTTATATGTATCTTTTATATGAGCTTCACATGAGTGTATCCTATTTGTGTTTTGTTTTATTCCTATTGATAATATTTGTATTTATGTATTCCTATGATAATATTTAATCTTATGTAGGGCATGTTCTCTATGTTGTTCGAGTATAAAGCAAATTAGTATATCTTAGATTTAGTGTATATATTGAAGTTTCTTTACATTGCCCCGCCGCTACACCTATGTTATATTCTTATATAATTTGATTGAATCGGAATTGATTTTATTTACCAAGTAGGTTAACACATACGAGGAATTTGCTTTGGTACATGTGGTGCATACAAAGACACAGAAAGAAGAAAACGTGGCAAAACAAAACAACGTGCTTGTAGTTTTTTCAAGCTAGGCAGACACTTATAAGACTTTGTTTGAATTTGAATTTAATTACCATAGAGTTTTGGAGTAGTGCTTGCATGCTCCTAGAGGAGTATTAATGCGACCCTGAGAAACAAAAAGGTCATTCATTAATTCCTCACAAATCTGCCAGCTATGATGTGCTTCAAGATCAAAAGCAATAATGCATTATTTGATAAAATAGTGGATTTAACTACAGAAGCACTTAAACTACCCTTATATTCACAAAATATAGAAAAAAGCATTAAAACCACAGTCGCGAGCGAACGCACTCATTTCAACATTTTCAACAAAAGCCGTGAAAAAAGTTATGATTTGCTTCACTGGGATTGAGATAACTAATCCCTTATCATCAAATATAAATGTCTGTTATGAAATAAAAGGTAAAAGAGAGGCAAGCTGAGTTTATTGAGCTAACAATGTTATCTCACATTACAGTTATCATTAAGCATTTGGATTTTATCCTATGTTAAATAAAAACCTGTGAGAATTCATGCTGCCTGTCCAATACATCATCTAACTGAAGCTAAATGATGAAATAAAAAAGAGGAAACAATATCCACATGTGCACATTTTTATTGAAGAACATTCATTCACAATTATGGGTGCTTTTCCTGTACTGGATCCAGAGTCAAATACATGTTTGGTAGGAACATGCAGCATTTATCTTCATGCTAAGAAACCAGAGTGTCATTGTTCTATTTGGTATTTGTAGACAATTCCGTTTTTTTTTACCCCTTCCACTGATTATTCATTTCAATCATCCATTCAACTCTATACAGTGATTAAGTAAAAGCAATCAGATCCTCCTCAGTGCTGAGACATGTCAGCCAGATCAATAAAAATGATAAACTCCTAATGAACGCCACTCTTCATCCTCTCTAATTCCACCACTCCTGCAAGTGTGAAAGCCTCCATGCACAGTAATTCCATTTCATATTTACTTGCACCCTGTGACAATCAATAAATAGATTTTAAATAGAGCGGGAGACAACCGTTTGCCCTTTATCACTCAATGAAGGCTTTAGTCCCTTTGGAGACGGGAGGGGAATTTTTAAATGGAATTGAATGCATTTTCGGGTGAAAATTGAGTGGATTTAACTAGTGTGTGACTGTGTGTGTGTGTGTGTGTGTGTGTGTGTGTGTGTGTGTGTGTGTGTGTGTGTGTGTGTGTGTGTGTGTGTGTGTGTGTGTGTGTGTGTGTGTGAGCGAACACGTGCATGTAGCTTTAGCTGACACTGTTTGCAGCTACACGGAGAAGGAGAGAAAGTCTGAATCAGGGCTTTCAGTAATCAGTGTCACATTGTCAGGGAGGGTGCCTTTGACTAATGAGAGGTGCTGACAGCCCGACTGCATACTCCCTTGGCTCTGCTGAGTGGGACGGATCTGTTGCAGGGCCTTTGTCAGGTTCATTCTCCCTCTGCTCCTCTCTCCCTCTCTTTGGCTCTCCTCTTTTTTTCTCTCCAAGTGTCAGGGAGAGCAACGACCGGTGGTCAGCCCCAAGGATACCTCCTGGCATTCCACATAGTGACAAATTGACCATAGGGGACAAGGTGCCTCAGAATTGCCTCGGAGATGAAGGGGTTTTGAATGTTCCGTTCCCATAGGATCGGAAACTGCAGATCTTGTTGGAATGACAAAGACAGGAACACGACGGGGAATGTCACAGTGTCAAGAAATAAGCAAAATAGGAAGGGAAAAGTAGGCAGGGCCAATGTCTGAACCCCGTGAGTTTAGGATTGATAGAAAAATAAAAAGCCAGTATTGAACAACTGAGGTGACATAGTTACCCATTCAGCATGTTGTGTGTCAAAGGCCAAAGGAGAGTCCCTCCATGACATTGTGTGTAGCTCAGCTAAAATGCAGTGCAGATTACCTCAATGGGGTTAGGATTAACTTGGAATCACAAAACCACCAACTGACTGCAAGTTAAGCATTTCCTAAACACAGATATTTGCAGTGAATCCCAGATTTGACAGAGCGAATCCTAACCCAGCAAAATACATATTTGAAGAGAAATCTGTGAGCGTATGATAACAGAAAGATTGAACAGTGTCGTCAAAGAGAGTCAACGTTAGAGGGTCAAGTCGGATCGATACTGAAGGTATTAACTGTTCATTCTTGTTTACAGTCAAGAGGAAACCCATCTAGGTGTTCCTGAAGCCCACGGGATTGATGGAAATAAAGTCACAGTGCCTTTAACATTCCTAAACTCCCCATCTGGTGTTGTCACTCATGGAGGTGATTTGTTGTCCCAGTTTTAGGGTATATTGCTGGCTGTAAGGTTTCTCTGTTGTGGAATACAGTTACCAACCACAGCACTTTTGTCAAGTCTCCTCTAAGTGATAATCTGACAAACACAAATTTGATGTGTGTGTGTCCCTCTGTAAATATTCCAAGTTTGAAACATCATCAACACCAATCACAATGCCATGAACCAAGAATGCACACAGGTGCACTGTGGAGCGGTGTGTGTTCACATAAGAGTGCCATCTCACTCTTTGCCGGCTGTCTTCAGTCAGGCCTACCTTGGAGCTAATCAGGCCGTCTCAGTTCCTTAGATGCCTCCCCTGGGACAGCACAGCCACCAGCACACTTAATTGGTTCATTTGTTCCGTCATGTTTTGCTGAGCAGAGACAGAACGAGAGGA